GCTGCTGCTGCTGCTGTTGCTGCTGCTGCTGCTGCTGTTGCTGCTGCTGCTGCTGCTGTTGCTGTCACTAGTGATGCTGTTGCTGCTACTGTTGCTGCTGCTGTTGCTGCTGCTGCTGCTACTGTTGCTGCTGCTGCTTTTGCTGCTGTTGCTGCTGCTGCCGTTGCTGTTGCTGCTGTTGCTATTACTTCTCCTATTGCTATTTCGATTGCCGCTGCTGTTGGTGTTGTTGCTGCTGCTGCTACTGTTGCTTCTGACAACCTTTGACTGAGTTGCTGCTGCTTTGGCTCTTGTCGAAAATACAATTGAGCACCGCAGCGACTGTTGCTGCTGCCAAAAAGAATTCCATTTTCCCTTTGCCAATGTCTATTTGTTTTTGCCGTTTTTCTTCTTTCTCTATTTTTTGGTATTTTGTTCTGCAGCACAATGCTGGCTTTTGGCTGCATTCAAAGCTGCAGCAGCAGCAGCAGCAGCAGCAATTTCGCTGCTTGGCGACTCGGCGAGTCGAGTGGGCCGGCCCGTTCCGGCCATGGGCCGAGCCGGAAAGGCAGCAGGCGCTGCTGGCAGAGCAACTGCACTGCTTTCTAAGTTCAATTGGTGTAATGCTCTTTATACGCTATACTGTTGTGATAAGGGGCATATTGGCTGGATAGAGAGGAGTAAAAGGCCAACCCCATGGTGTATGTATAAATCCTTGAGAAGGAAAACGAGCTGAATCCTCGACCTCGCCGTACCCGACCGCCCGGACGCCTGGTCGACTCCCTGTCCGAATGACTTGAAGGAAGACTTAAACATAATTATTTATTTATTTATTTTTTATTATTTGTTTTAATCGTTGACTATTCCCGTTTTAAAGTCAATCAATTGAAAGCCTTACCGTAATTAAAGTTATAAAATTTTATGACGTTCATCTTAGGAGAGTCAAGAGATAAATACAGTTTTTTAATTATGTATTTTTTTTTTTTAATTTTTTATAGAGTATCTGGACTTGAATAATTCTCTCATCATAGACTTCTCAGAAAAGGCTTCATTTGAGACTTGACTTGGCCGGCAAACATTCAATTGAGACTCTTCATATACGCAGTTCGCCATTGAGTTAAATGCTGTGCGATCCTGAACGACCGTTTGAATGGGCAGCTCACAAAGGCCGTAGCCGACATATTCGGGCTCCGGCTCGTAATCAAGTTCGTGGTCGTTCGCACAAGTTGCTTGGCCATACGACAACGGAAGTCCTACGCACGACAAGCGGAAATGAGCCAAGAGTCTGGCAAACATGAGCGCCAAATGAATTGAAAGCACTCAAAAGAACTAATCCACTCGCACTCTCAACTGCACTTGCTCGCTCGCTCACTCAAACGCGGCGGCTGCTCTCTTGGCCGCTGCCTCTGACTCGGTAGAGGGAAATATGGGGAAATTATGCTTTGTGTGAGTGAGAGCGTGAGCAACAGCGCGACGCTTAGCCAAAAATATAACAGCATGAATATAGCTCAAAAGGCATCGCGTGCAGTGTTCGGCTATTGAGTTCGTGCGTCGTGCTCGTGGCTCGGCTCGATGATGCTGCGCTCGTGACTTGCCAGGCGACGACGGGGCTCTGGGCTATGGCCGCCACTGAGTCATTGTGTCAACGCAGGCAACCGATGCGGACGCCACAAGCGGCACATTTCGCTCCGTCGTGGAGTAGCTGCGAGCACAGCCACAGTCAGCGTCGAGTTCGCCACGTGCACGGACATGTTCAAGCGGCCATAGCGCAGCGTGTCGGATTTTTCGGTGCTTGTGTGTGTTTCCTTTCGAGATTATCGCGAGTGCAGTACGAAAACAAAAGTGCGGCAGTTGATGCAAATAAATACAGAAATACAAAATAAATAAATACAGCCAAGCAACTAAATATTATTAATTACAAGTATATTATTATCTTTTTTTTTTTTAATATTTTTTTCGTTTGTGCGCGTTTGTGTGAGCGAAATACGCAATTGTGTGTCATTGTCGGCGGCCCAATGCCGTTAGCCGGCAACTGAGTGCAACGGTATTGCGCGCCAAAAAAGAAAAAAAAAATGTGCACATCGCATTTCGATAAGAAAGAGAAAAACAAAATGAAGAGAAACAACAACAGCAATAGCTAATTACAGCAACAACTCAAGCAGCAGCAACAGCAGAGCCACATGCAGGGCAATTGCAATTACAGTTAGAAATCGGCCAAAGAGGACAAACAGCAGCAAAGACAACAGCGATTTGACAACAGTGAAACGTCGCTAAATAGTGCAAGTGCATGCGTGCATATGTTCAAGTAAATGTAGGTCGCAAATCTATTTAATGAAATCACATGTTTTTTATGAATTATAAAAGCCAAAAATAAGTATCAATAAAAATGAATGTAATAAAAAAAAAAACAATATCATAAAAAATTTAATAAAAATATATAAAAAAATAAATTAAATTAAATATAATAACATCATAACATTAAATTTTATTTTGCATTGCATCGTTAGATTACCGTTATGTATTAATTTATTTAATATATTATGATTATATTTATTTACTTATATATTTTTAGTATTAATATTTCTACTTATGATTGCATTTTTTGTTTATTAAATTAAATTTTTATTTTTTGTTTGATTAATTAACATATTTTTATATATTACTTATTTATTTAATTATTTTATTTATGTATGTATGTATTTTTTAAACCATTATGAAGCTAGTGTTTTTTTTATTTGTATAAATTTTGCTGCTGTTATTTATCATTCATTATTTATATACGAAAATATGTTTGAAGCTCTTAGCTGCATTGTCATTGCACTCAGCTGTAAACCACACACATACATGCATTCATACACTCATACATACATGTATGCACAATTCATGCACACTCGCACACATTCACACATGAATCAACACCATAAGAAAGCTCCACTGTATATGCCTGCATACACCAATGCACACACACTCACACTTACGTGCTCATAAATGTACGTGTGTATGTGAATAAGTTGAGCCACTTAGCGAATTGGCAGCCAGACATATTTTTAGCTATAGCCCAAAAGTAAAAAGCAAACGCAGCCAAAAGGCGACCACAACAACAGAAACAGCAACAAGAACAACACAAACAGCTGGGCATAGAGGACAGAGAATATGAAGAAATGGAAGCAGCAGACGCTGCGCTGCCGCCCACTGAGCATAAAAATTCATTAATAAAAACAACAGCAAAAATTAAACAGATGCCATCAGCTCTCTCTCTTTCTCTATCGCTCGCTTGCTCCCTCTTTGAGTGCGGTCCATCGCTCCCCTCACACACACACACACATGTAGATGCTTAACTATACACACACGCACACACACACATAGACACACATTCTTGTTTCTTCTTTTGCTTTTCCTGTTGACTTCCCTCTGCATTAAACAACAACAACAACAAGAGCGCAGCACAGCTGCTCTCACACAAATTTTTACATATGTATGTATGATGTATGTGTGCCAGTGTGTGTGTGTGCATATGTGTTATAATGTTCGCATGCTGCTCAAGCCAATAGCAACTAGCAACAACAACAACAACATGAGGCGCAAGAACATATTGATAAAGGCAACATTGACGAAGGTCCCATGGTCTGCCTTAGCCCATTCTTCTTCTTCTTCTTCATCTTCTACGTTCTGTTCCCCATATTTTCTGGCATTGTCTGCCGCATTTTATTTTCGCCGCAAAGTTTGCATTATGAACGTGTAGAATTTTGCGTGCTGTTGTCTTGTCTGCCGAATGTAGCTCAAGGCTAACACGCACTGTGTTCCGTCGTCGTCGTCGTTGTTGTTGTTGTTGTTCTTGTTGTTGCTATGTCTTATGTAGTTTTGCCCAATGCCCCAAAGAGGTTAGCATATGGTATGCCCAACTAGCACAACATTTAAACACCGTTAACCCTACATGCATTTAAATATACCATTATTTTTGCTCAGCGATCGTTGCAATGGGGAAATTTCATGCACGCAAAAGTTCCCAAGCATTGCCAATCAGCTTTCAGTTTTCCAATTGGAACTGTGTCACTGCCCGAAATCCAGACGTTTTTATAGATTTCAAATACATTTGATCTAAAAATAACTTAAAAAAAAAAAAAATAAAAAGCATTTGCGATCAGTGACAGAACAGAGGCAATTTAAATGGAAAATAAATAACGTGAAAGATAAATCTCTAAGGCATGAATAATGGGTTCACTGTAGCTTATGCTTGTTAAGCGTGGACTGAACTATCCGTAACGCAAATGTATATGTTTATATATACTTGTCTGTGGTTAGCAGTCGCCATTTTGTATTTTCATACCAACCGGAACTTTTCACGGTTCACAAAATTGTTTTCATTTTTTATTTCATTTTATTTGATCTCATTTTATGTTGTCGCTTTTTTTCTTCTGCGGATTACGTTGGTAATTTCGCTCAACGCCAAGCAACTTGGCCCGAAAATTGGCCAGAAAACATTTGCAGCTATTTATGTAAATTCTTGACCTACATTGCCCTCAACTACACGAGCCAAGTGACCAAGTGTAATAATATAAGATAATAAAACTGGGATGACATGCAGATACTTGTAATACAATGCAAATGTCTCAACAAAACCAACGAAACTTTAAATAATAAATTTCAACTTGGCAACAAGTTTATCAAGCGAATCACGTTGGGGGGAAAACTATAAAATGTTTTCCTTTTTTCTTTCGTCACTGGCAAAAGTTTTTGGTATTTTAAGCGAAGAGCGCACTGAATTTGTATTGCGTTAGGTTTGATCGATTTTTATCGATTTGTTTTGCATTGAATTCGATTAAATTTGCTATTAATTTAATTTAAAAAAACGACTAAATTATTTTATAAATTAAACATAACTGTTGATTATTTAAATGATGAACTCACTAGGTATTAATTATAATATAATATAAATATTAATTATAAATTATATATAATAAAAAATAAATAAATAAATAAAATAAAAAATAAATATAGTAAGAAAAACTTTTATTATTATTATTTTTTATTTATTTATATAACATATCTCTTTTTGGCAAGTATAATCTGATTAGGAACTTAATGGGCAATATATAATTTAAAAAAAAAGTATTTTTAATTCCATATTATTCCTTTTGCTACTTTATTGATTTATCGATTACAAAACGCTATCAATTTTTAATCTATTTCTCAAATAATTCTGCATACGTCGAGCGCTTCTTTAGCTGGTTATGCCCCAATTCTGCAGTTGCCACAGATATGAACAAGCAGAGAGAAGAAGAAGAAGCAGCACACTGCAAAGATAAAAATACGCACATACATTTCGTATCTAGCAGATACATAAACAGATATGTATATATGTACATACCTATACATAAATATGTAGGAATATCTGTCTCTGTGTTTGTGTGTGTGTGTGTGTGCGTGTGTAAGGCGGCAATTTAATTTCATTATTACGCAAAAGATAAAAAATAATATGAATAGAACCTAAAGAAAAACCAGAAGAAACAGAACAAAAAATAAATAAAAAGGAAAGAGAATGCTCGTTGGCTAAAAAAGTGAAAGCTTTTGAATTTCTGCCCAGCCGCAGCTCGACCCGCACCCTCTACCCTTCCCCCGGCTGCCGCTGCTGCCTGCCCACCCTCTCACCCATAACCAGACGTACCTCTTGGCCACTCAGCTCATCTCGTCTGCGCTCATCTCTTGCTACACACACATATATATATTTGTCTGTATGTTTGTGTATTATTTTCCCTGTTTTACTTATGGAAATTTAATTTTGGTTTCCCATTTTCATGCATCGCAGCAGCGAAACTTGCGAAAAATTTTAATTTCTGTTAAGTTTTGCTATCTCACATTTTGTGGCTTTCTCTGTTTGCGTTATGGCATCGTTTACTAGAGCTCAAATGATAATCATCGAAAGTCCAAACGGAGTGAGCGAGAGAGAGAGAGAGAGCGAGATAGAGAGAGGAAGGCAAGGTGCGGCGGCGGCTTCTGTTGTCTTGGCCACAAAGGAAATCATTTCATTGTGAACCGCAACTAAGCAGCTCCATTACCATTTCCCCATCTCTGCCGTTGAGTTGCCATTTCCACTTCCACTTCCACTCTCATTGCGATTCCCCTTCCCCTTCCCCCTCCCCGTTCACACAGCGAGCGACTCTCTTCATTCACATTCAGCTCGCAATTTGTTAAGTCGTCTGGCAAATTTATGACATTTATTGAAATCCTTTTTGTGTTCGCATTTAACGCTGCACCAGCCCCACACTTCTCTCCTGCACCCCCTCCCCTCGTTAAACACCGCCCGCGCAATTGTCTGGCGTAACCGCAATTAGTTGAAAATTTCCCGGCTATGCCACAAAAATATAAAAAAAAAAAAAACAAAAAACAAATAACCAAAGCAATGGAAAAAACCAAAAAAAAAAAAAAAAAAAAAAAAAAAAAAAAAAAAAAAAAAAGAAAAAAACAAAAAAAAAAAAAAAAAAAAAAAACCTGTTGAATATTTCAGCATAAAAGCCGAAATGCATTTTCCATTTTCCATTTTCCATTTTGCCATTAGCTAAGAGAATTTCATAGGAATTTCTATAGAAACTTATTAGGAATGCATTTGGCAATTTTATTAAATATGCAAATGTATTATCATTGATATCAGCATTAAAATTTCCATGTAAGCTTATCTTAAATAAATATTTTATTTATTTTTATTTTTATATTTTCAAAGGAATTTCTTTGTACAATTAATTTCAGTTGAATATTTTTATTTACTGAAAATAAATTGAAATTACTTACTTCAATTACATCTACATACATATGTTTATATATTTCTATAAGTTTTGCTGCTTATTAAAAAAAAAAAAACTGTGCAGGGTATATTGGATTTATTGTAATGTTTGTAACAGGAAGATATGATTTACATTAAAATTGATTTATGTCGAATTGAACATGAACGAACATGAGTCAATCGAACTTTAATGCCTGAGAGTTCCATCTAAAAAATATCTACCAGTCGAGCATACCCCACATTGGAGCACTTTAAGTCTTTGTTTAAGCTAATTAAATTGATTTTCTTTGAAAGTTCCTCACAAATAATTCTTACGAAAAACTCTGCAGTGCATGAAAAGCTTGCCCAAACATACATATATATATTCCAAGAAAAAAAAATACATATATATATATTACAAAGAAAACAAACAAAATTATATATAATTAGCAAATTCAATTTAATTCAATTAAAATATGAATTTGCTTTCACAGTGTGAATTGGAATCCCTCGAATTTGGTGTAAATTTAATAAAACGTGAAATATGTGAAATG